GCGGTGGCAGAAGCCTATAAATAATGCAGGAATCCTTGAGAAAGAGCAGGGCAGAATTAATTGAAGGACTTAGCCTCTCTGGCTAAGATATCAAAGAAGTTTTTTTTATGCCTTCTTCTTTTTTTAGTGGGATCAGAAACGGACTTTACATTGAGGGTATGGCCCTCAATGTAAAAGGCAGATCAAGCTGAGTGTAGCAGCTTTGTTCCCCAGAGATATAGTTATTATTCAGACTTTTAATCAAGAAGCGATTGTTTCCTCTCAGATGGCAACTCAGTGGATATATCATTAAAATCATGACACTCCATAGAAAATCACCAAGCCGAAGGGACTTGGTAAGACTGAAGAAATTTATGGCAGCCAAATACAGTAGTGTAGTGCATGGCCCAAAAGGATATTATTCTGCATTAGGGTTATCCAAGCTCTAGTTGTCTTCAACCCAAAGACAAGCACTGTTGTTCCTCTTACAACATGGCAGTGCAAATAGAGACAGATCCTGCTGGTGAATTAGAATGTTACAAGGTCGATATCTGGGGTGGATAAGAGGAACGGCAAACACCCTGCTGTCTGGAAAGAATGGGTGGCTGACATCTATCTGCCTGGCAAAGGGGGAGGAGGAAAGAGGGACACGAAGAAGCATGGGAGGAGGGGGGGTAAATGTAATTTAGCCTCCGTGATCTCCACAGGGGCCCGTGCAAAGGTAACCCCCACCCATCAACCCAAATACACATGGGATATAGTCGGGGGTGCACAGGGAATAAGAATCAGGGTGTGGAAAGGTTATTATCCTGGTGTAATCTTGATAATAAAAAAAAATGGGGGATGGGTTTTTAGAGATAGTTAATACCAGATCAATAGAACAAAACACTCATTTTTGTTCAGTAAAAACTCCCACCAAATGAGCTCATTCCCCCCACCTAAAGGAAAACAGTTATTTGGATACACTCATATTCATCCGAGAAGAGATGATTTCACTCCTACTGCTGTGGTTTTCAATTTCAGGTTAAACAAATCTACCAGTCAGGCTAAAAATACTTAGTCTTGACAGATGTGTGTGTGTGTGTGTGTGTGTGTCTGCGTAATGCGCATGTGTGTATGTGACTATGTGTTGGCTAACCATTTGTCAGCCATATGGAAATGTCACAGAATAATCATAAACAATTATCCACCCCAGCTCTCAAAGCTTCAGAATAGGGCAAATTTACATAAAGAGACACAAAGGCTCTGTCACTTACATACAAAAGAACAGAGCCCCTGAAGCTTAGCACACACTTAAAATGTATCAGAAACTAAATGTTGATGCTTTTCTAACACCCTCGTTTCATATCCTTGATTCTTCATAACTTACATGGATGCTTAAAGACTCTTAGCATCTGGTATGCAAATGGGCTGCTTTAAAGCTGGTTGCAGGTTGTTTGAAAACAGAGGATCACAAGAAGGCTGTGTAATGATATTTTTTCCCTATTGGAAGTAGACATAAACCAGCTGTAGATCAATTTAAACCAGGCTTTCTACTCAGTGATAAATCAAAGTCCTGGACACAGACAGATCTGGGAACGGTTAATGGATGCTATGGCAGACGTACAGCCAACACAGGATGAATCCACTGAAGACTGAACGATGAATGGGAAAATGGAGGAGGGGGGTGACTTTGAAGCAGCGGGAAGGGAGGCTGGTGAGATGGTTGGTGGAGACCAGGAGGGTAATGGGGCAGCTGCTTGTTTGATGGTAATGATTGCCAATCAACAGACAAATAATGTGATTCTGCTGCCATGGAATAAGCCTCTTACAGGAAGTCCAGCTATTCGAGGACTAGGGATGTTAACAGAAGGACTAACAACTTCATAGGCTTTCAGCTAAAATGTAGAGTGATTGTGCGGATTGTAATTTGACTACACTATTCGGTAAGGGGATATACATATGTGGCATTTTCTCTTTTTACAGCATCATTAAAATAGTTTTGTTGACAGTTTGCATCATGCAGACTGTGCATTTGCCAGTAAGCTTTTAAAAGCCTGTTGCTTACTCCAGCCATCGGTGTAATTGCCTCACGTCACTAGATGGCAGTAAAGTCAAGAGGTAAAATCTGTCAAATGGAAACAAATTGACAGACAAGTCCTGTGGCTGAAGGTCATAAGGTCATTGAGATCACCGCTGCTGCTCGGAGAATGCTGTTTATTTTAAATAATATAGCCTTTGTTCCAGTTGCAATTCACAACAGTTCATTTTTTTTTCATATTCTCCCCGTGACCAGGTCTCATTTTGGACCCCCCCCCCCAAGTATTTTCAAGACACTAGATAGCAAGCTTCCCTGCTTCTTGACACCACTGCTGTGTGATAAAGCACCAGATGGTGGGTTGCTATCTCAATATTTCTTGATAGTGCCCATGATGGAAGTGGCCACGAGTAAGCTCCAAAAAGGTGGAGTCCAACTACTGTGTTGCAAAAGACCCTATAGAGGCTTCCCCAAGGAGTTTCAGGAAGGTGAAGATATCCATATTAGTCTGTTTCTCAGCTTTTGCTCAATGTACATTCATTGATGCAGTTTAGATCATTTGGCTAATTTCACGGTCCAATATCCAAGAGCCCATTTGAAGATTTAAGATTTAAGTCAATACAGCAACACAGCACAGAGCAGTTATCTGAACTCTGCATCCTCACTGTGGATGATGGATACAGCGGCTCCTTTTGAAAAATAAGTGCTTGACTCCGAATTATAACTCACAAACGCACATCTTAAAGCAGAGAATTCATAAGTTGAAGAGGAAATTACGTCTCATTAATATTGATCTATTTTTCAAAATTAAGCAAGCTTACTATTCATCTCTGAATGAAGAAAATAAGAACAACCCCAGCTTACTTCTTTTCACTGTAGCCAGGCTGACAAGAGTCAGAGCTCCACTGACTCTTCCATTAGTCCATTAACCTTAATTAGTAACAACTTAATGAATTTCTTTACAAATAAAATTTTAACCATCAGAGTATAGAAACAGCTTTAGTTAAGAGTTGTGCCTCATCACATGAAGGTGTGGGTCATCATCAGCAGAGGTTTCGAGTGAAACCATTGTGAGACCTTCCCTCAACCTATTGTGTGAGATGTGACGTTAAGGCGCCTGGGAAGGGATCTCAAAACTGCACTGTAGGTGGCAGACAGTTGGTGTCGTGAGCCATCTCCTGTGTTCACGGATAGTCGTTCACAGTGGACATAGATGACTTCTTCCCCTCCTCTTTCAAACCATCGGTCTTCTCTGTCTGAAACGTGAACATTGGCGACCTCGAAAGAGTGACCTTTATCCTTTAGATGCAGATGTACAGCTGAGTCTTGTCCTGTCGAGGTGATTCTTCTATGTACCATGCATTTATGCAGTGGCTGTTTGGTTTCTCCAGGGTAGAGGTCTAAGCATTCGTCGCTGCAGTGCACACCATATACCATGTTGTTTACATTGTGGTTGGGAGTTTTGTCTTTGGGATGAACAAGTTTTTATCTGATTGTGTGGATGGGTCTGAAGTGCACTTGGATGTCATGCTTGTAGATGCCACGCTTATGAGCCATGCTTTAGTGCTAAATTTATACTCTTCTTATGGACACTGACCGTGGACTTATTTCTGTGCTTGTACTCCAGCTGCAGTATTCGATACTATCGACTATAATATTCTATTACAGAGCAGTTGTTTGAATCACATTTACCTAATAGACTACAATTTGTTCATGTAAATGGGTAGACTTCTTTACACAATAATATTAATAAGTTCCTTAGTAATATTAATGTTTAGTTCTGTAGCTTCCCTTTGGCAGTATCATGAGAAGCCATATCATAAATTTTCATTGCTATGCAGATGACCCAACTTTTTCAAACCATGAAGCCAGATGAGACACATCAGTTAGCTAAACTGCAGGAATGTCTTAAAGACATAAAGACCTTGTTAACCTCCAATTCCTGCTTCTAAAAATGAAAAAAGTTATTGACAATTAATGGCATTACTTGCCCTCAAACAACACTTCGAGGAATTTTGAACTCTGTTCTGGTCATTGACTTCTCTTCATTGGTTCCCTGTTAAATCCAGAAAGAAATTTTAAATCCTTCATTGAATCCTGTTTCTGGGAGAGGTTTTTTCCTGATAAAAATGACTTTTTCTTTCCCACTGTTGCCAAGTACTTGCTCATATAGGCTTGTCTGTTTGTAGGGTTTCTACCTTATAATATAATGCACCTTGGGATGACTGGTGTTATTTAGTGGTATATAAATAAAATCGAATCTATCATGTTAACAACTGTATTTTATTAACTACGATCCAGTAGCTACTTATTGTCTATTAACTAGCACTTATTAAAATTATCTCAATACAAACTTGACCTTTTTACATATCTGAGTTTTTAGAAGCCTCACCAAAGTGATTTTGATAGCCAAACTGAAAATGGTACACGGTTTTTATTATGTGGTATTGTTATGAGCTGAATCAGAAATCAGAAATTATGCAGCAATTAAGACTCAAGACAGTGTTTGTTATGGAGTACTGAATTTAAATGCATTCACAGCATGACAAGGCAATGACATTTTAAGCCTGAAAACAGATAGTTATTTATTCATTCATTATTTCCTGCAGCTTGAGTTCCATACTTTCACTAAAAGGAAAAAAAATATTACATAGCGATAAAGAAAGAGTCTGTTAGTACAAATCTGTTTCTTAAATACAAAAAAAACATTTGCAATACTGTCAGAAAAGAGCATAATTTTAGAAGTATATTGAGACTTAGCAGAACCAGTACAAATCAGAATAGTATAATTTTGTGCATCATGATATCGACATTGTAAAACAGCAGGATTATATAACTTGGCATTCAAATCAGAAAGCAATAAGAATCTGACTGTATATGCAATTTTCTGTCCAGTTAGTTACAGTACAATGTACACTGTGCACAGCAAGTAGAAATGAATATGTTTATATATATATATATATATATATATATATATATATATATATATATATACACATACACATACATATATATGTATATATATATATGTTCTCTACAAGTTGTCTATATTTATAATATTCCTACCAACAAGTTAAGCCATATCGTGCATGATATCGTCGCTTAGACTGCTGTAAAAGCTGCTTGTTCCTGTACAATCAATTAAGATATTTACAATTTCAACAAATATTCTACATGTCTTTAAAAAAATAAAACTTGATGCAAGTTAAGAAAAACTAAATCTTGATCCCATCCAAAGGCCCTCAAGAGCAGTTAGTAAATGCGAACAACTTTTGCTTAATAGGAGTTGAATTAATGTGCTGTGTCCACAACCACACACAAACACAAATATCCATACACTGCAGAAATACCATTAGGTATTGCAGGCATTTATACATCAGTGGTGGTTCTTACAATGTTTTCATTTGATCCAGTGCAGTGTTTTACTTTTCAAAGAAATCAAAGCCAGTCCTGTGTCTTAAAAAAAAAAAAGCCAAGCACATATTAATTATTCGTCCATCCACAGGGTGCTCTTCTCATGCTTATCTTATCCATCCTTGGATGTGACTTCTGCATTTCTCCCATTGTCTCTGTTCCAGACACTGAAGGCCAGAAAGAGACTTTGCAAGTGAATCAATGCTTTAAAGAAAAGGCACTACCTGCTGAAGGAGCACTTGCAGGGACTGAAGCAAGCTATCACACCATCAGCTATTCCCTACTGGCCTTCAGATCAAGCACAATAAGAGGAGGTCACATGCAGGGCAAAGGTCATGAGGTCATGTGACATGCCATGCAGCACTTTAGCCTCCTTCTTCATCGTCGCAGTGTGACAGCGACTACAGATGAGGACGTATCAGTGCAACACTCTGAATTATAACGTGCACTGCTCTCAAATTCCACTGTGCAGAATGTTCACTTCATTAAATATAACTTTACATATGCGCTGTACAACATCTTCCTTTTAAACGCACCATGGGAACTGCCTTAATGTAATAGATTACATAGCATTTTTCTGGTACAAGTTTCTGGGTTGGAAAAAAATATACATGGAGTAGTAGAAATTTACTGTAGACAATGCCCCCTATTTGAATAGATAATATGACAACCATCAACACAAACAAATATAGTTCAGACAATAACTGCATAGTCCATATCAGATTTCTGGTAAAAATGCAATAGTTGTTAATATTAAAGTGTTGATTAATATATGGATTTATGGAACTGTCATGAACTGTTAAAGTTATGGCTGAGCTGGTTACTTCCTAAATGTCGCTCAGGGTATAATTAGCTAAGGTTTTCCAAGCTTCTCCATAAGACGTCCGTGTGAAAACATAAATGTCTTTAATGAGTTTTACGTTTCATTTATGGAGCTGGGTATACATGTTTGATCATAAAGCCATGCAGTGTTGGGACAGCCCTGTAAGAGTGATGTAGGGATTGAGGGGGCTTGAGTAGTCAGTGCATCACCCCGCACCGTTCTGTTAAGACCGACTGGCTACACAAAAGAGTTCAAGGAGTTCATGGCTTTTATAGGGGATGGGGCCTCCGAGCTCTCATGGCCCTCAGCAGTGTCCCTACTGGCACTCTTTCCACTATACTGCCCGATAAAGGAGCCATCCTCGTTGAACTGTCCGTCTCCTCCTTCACCGTAGTCAACTAAACTGTCGTCACTGTCGTCTCTCTTAACTGTCCCATTAGATGGCGAGCGGCTCCCTTTTAAAGGTTTATGGTCCTCATTGTCACTGAAGGAGAAAATAACATGCAGGCATTACAGGTGAGATGATGTGACAGATGCAATAAGGAGAATAGTGATCACTTTTTTTTTTTTAGATGGAGCATAGAAGAGCCAATTGTTGCTTTTACCACAACCTACCCCTTAAGTTCGGTAGATAATGGCAAAGTTGTTATATGAATATTAATATGCAGCAATGAATATAAAATACATTTCAATGCACATTCGGGTTGCTCCATGTCTAAAAAATGTTAGCCATGAATGATTAGCTGGTTTCCATCAGGCAACGGGGGAATAAAGCTCAAGCAATCATACCCTTTTCAAATTCCCCCTGAAACCAAATATGAAGTGGTAAATATGCTGTTTGACAAAAGCATTTTTCTCCCAAGGCAGAGACTGTGATGAAAAACAGAAAATCCAATGAAATGACGTGAATAAAGGAAAGTTTAAGCCAAGTATCCCTGCCCCCAAAGCAAGCACGACGATAAATCACAAGTTGGCAAAAATGCATGGAAAGTCCGCAAAGAAAGTTTTCTTTGGGTATCAGATAGTTGAGAACATTGCATATACACGACTTGAACACCAATGAGATCGCAAAGCTTTCACAATGCTGAGATGCTCCAAAATGGAAAGACAATAAATGGTATGCAAAAGCATTTAGGGGACATGACGGGAATAGAATAGCCACAGATTGCTGACGGCTTATTTTTTGAAGCACTGCACATAATGAAGGCTTTGTGACAAAATATTATACACGATGACAGCTGTGAAAGATAGCAAGCATTTTTCTCCGCAGTGACTTCATTACCCACCGACCCTTTACACATGCTACATTTACAAAACCCTTCACCGCCGCCAATCCCCATCATTGCCCTTACCTTTCCTGAGACCTACACCCCCTGCGTTAGGATGACGACGTCACTCTGAGATCAAACACATTCCTACATTTTACATTTCTGTAAGTCTGGCACTTTAACAGGCAAATGTGCTTTGTACAAGTACAGATTGATCTAAAAATACAGTATACTCTCCAGCAGTCAAACAAGAACAGCTCAGTTGACTTAAGTAATGCCTTTATTGACATACTGTAAGGTTCCAGCTGAGTGTAATGAAACAGCATGGATATAAAGAATACTCTCACAAAGGCACTATAATATTTATACACTTTGCCTTGTGATTTGTCTATTGTGTTTTTACAGCCGATATCCATTGGAGAGATTATCTCGTGGTGTAAATACTACAGACTGGTGGTATTCTAGATTTAAAAATATATCAACACTTTTCTGTGTAACATATTTATTTGTGCCAAACACTTCCAGTGCTGTCTAAAAACCAATAACAACTCATTCGTGAGCCACATTGTTACAATGGGCAAAAAGCTCCTTAATTATGATGAACATGAACTCTGTTATTAAGCTGATTCCCACATATTCTATCCTGATTCGGTGCAGACTTACAAGCACAACAAACTGGCTATTGAAAATAGGCACCCCAAAAAATACACTGTCTTTGAGATACTATTCCTTGTAAACTACAGTAGCCAGCTATTTTAAGAAGCTCTTTAAAGTTAAAGTAACCTGTTTTTAGAAATTTAAGTCTTCACTGGAAATGTAAGAGTTGCAATGGAGAGCTATAGATAAGCGGGAGGACTGGGCAGTAGTGCGAAACAGACGACTATTCTGTTGATCTTTTCCCAGAAAAATAAAATCTAGAATAACACCAATCATAAATGATTTCTACTAAAGAATGGCTATTGGCCTGTTGTAAATAGCATTAACCAGCTCTGTCCTCTCAGTGTTGATTGCTTCCCTCAAGCATGCTGACAATTTCATAACATACCCATATGCATCTATATACTGTATATCTATATCTATCTATCTCTCTATATATAAACAATACTTCCATTCAACACATTATTGCCTACAGCAAAATTTCATACATAATATCAAATCTTAAAACCATGCATATCACATTTTTATATATAATTAATGATATGTATTTATCGCACATCTTCTGTCTCACATAAAATCCATAGAACAGATTCATGTATACATAATACAAAAAGGAATATAAAATATAAAAGCAAGACCATCTTAGAAATTCACTTATTAAAAAAAAGAATATTCAAAAATGCTAGTTTTACAGAAGTAAAGTGCTTCATTGTTCTGTATTCTGCATGTGATTGAAGAAGCAGCCTAGAAAAAGGATGCTGACAAGCATAGCTGGATAACTGAAGTAACAGTTAACAGGACTGACCATTTCAGAGATTTTCAATCCTATCAGGGTCATGTACTGTAAGTAGCAATACACTAGGCAAAGTGTTAATGCTAATATATATATATATATATATATATATATATATATATATATATATATATATATATATATATATATAATATATATATATATATATATATATGTATATACACTATACATACAATGTATATGATTAGCTTATTAGTTGAAAAGCTTGGGGTCAGTTAGGGATGTGTTGCAAATGAAAGTAGCTTATACTGTTTATTCCTGACAGTCTTATTTGTAATGTTAAAACACCCTAAACCACGAATCCCCTGAACCTGAAGAATCCTGCACACATATCAAGCACACATAAAGTCCAACACAAACAGCATCCAGGGTGTCCCAGAATCCAGAAACAAAATCTTGTACTTCACGGTGGTAGAAGATCAGACTGGGTTACTTCCTCTTGTTGTTTTGACTTTAGTTAATGGTGATTCTGGTTGATTTTTTTTATTAGTTTTAAGGGTTGAGAAGTAGGAGGGCGAGCAGAGCTCCAGCACAGAGTGTAGATTTAGGAAAGAAAGTGGGAACACAGGGCAAGTGGTTGATGGGTACAATCTGCTCTGGGGACTCCAAAGGCTGGGGCACTTTCTCTCACCTGTATTCCACAAAAGTACAGTCGTCATCTTTCATGGGCTGGAACTCAGGGTCTGTGTGGGCATCCTCCTTCTCTTTGACTGGTGAGATACAGGAAGCGATTTAGTCAAACTGGCTTTTAAAGAATTGTGAGAAACAACATGTTTCTTAAGCGATATGACGAAGACAGTCGTTCAACATCACCCATGAAATTCAAAAACCGTACCCGAACTTAAATTTGGCCGACCTCAACTTCGAGCTCAGTCTTTGTGTACCTGTAGACTGTTCTTCCCTGTCCAGATGCTTTTTTTTTGTTTCTTTACTGGAAAGTCTGTTCTGACCAACACATTTTAATTTAAAATTTTGAGGGAGTTGACTGAATTGATTGTTGAATTGATATGGACAAAAGAGCTTGCTTGCATGCGCCACAGTTCACATCTGAATGTTCTCTGAGATGTTACACAAGAAATATGTGTTGACAGTCTGACTTGGGAGTGAATTGATGCCTAAACTACTCCACCCATCTGACCCCTATATAAGAGCCAAATAAAAATGACAGGCATGCTCCTGGTTGCGCTCCTAATCTGATGCCCTACCTTTGGGCTGTGGACACTGTGCAGTCTTTCACGCAGAAACCCCAGTGCAGTCCCTGCTCTTAACAAGAGAGCAACATCACTGTGACATAGAAATTCATGTTTTCAGTCCAAGTTTGTGGTTATGTGTAAATGGTCAGAACAGGACTTCTGCATCTAAAACACCAGGAACACTAGGAGAGGTGAATTGAAGGGGAAATGGGCCAAATAGAAATAAGGTATGGTTTTCACTCTTTATAGTTGGACTCACAAAACCTGACTGTAATTTATGGGTTCATTAAAACTGATTAATGTGTGAATCTGACAACAGTGAATAAACCCTGTCAATACAAAAAACCTATTCTCCATTAATGTGAGATGTATACTTCTTTAATGAATGGTTTGATCCAAACTATGTAGGAGTTTGTAACTGTGCATTTTAAAAAGTTCTGCTCTAATAAAGTTGTTATTATAGAAACAACTGTCTTTTTTTGTGGTGATTGTGCCATTACTCACCAGGGTACTTCCCTCCTTTATTTCTCTGGATGAAGCAGATAATGAGAAGGATCAGGATGAGCAGAGCAATTGCACACATGAGGCCAATGAACCATCCCTGAGTGGCGATGTCCACCTGTCTGCTTGCCACAGCTGTCCAGAGAAGGGGAGAAAGACTTAACATTTACACTTGCACTATTTTAACATCTCATCCCCAGTAGCGAGGGAAAACAGCAAAAATTATCCACAATATGTGCTAAAACAAACATGGAAGATCAAGTCAGCGTTTGAGCAGATATCCCATCTGATATGATGAATTTTCAGGTGACGAGTGAATCAAGATTGCATATTATTATTGACAAAGACTTTAACGTTAGATGAGCTAGACAGTTCCTAACATTATCCTATCCGTGACTTGAGCCCGAATTAGTAGTAGTACACAATCAAAGAAGTAACATGTACACACAATTACAGACACACACGCAAACACGGACAGTGACATACAACGTACGTTAGCACGGGTGATATTAAGTCAAATAAAATACTAAAAACAGACTGAAATTCTATATTAGAATATCCACTTCTAAAATCCCCAACAGTGCGACACTGACATTCATTATGCATTAACCAGAAAATCATGCTGTATGTTCTGTCCACATCACTACAGTACATGTCTGGCATATAGAACAACCACATCACATCTGTTAAATCCATGCTCGATTCTGTATAAATATACAAAAGCACAAACTACTCCATACGCGACACACGACAAAGTGTAAGGCCAGGCTCAGCCACACCGAGGTGGAGGCGAACATCCAGGAAGTGCCTCACCTGGGAGAGTAACCAAGAGCTCCTTGGAGTGGTGGAATTCTTGGTCGTGGTGACCCAAAGCCACCAAACGGACCCTATAGCAAAGGCCCCCCTTTAAGCCTTTCAGCGTTATGTTCTGAGAGCCATTCACAAACTCTGTATTCCAGTCCTCTTCACTTTCACCTGCAGGAGTTATGTTCATCAAGAGAAGTATGTTTGAAGGAGCGAACACAACTTCAAAAAGGCCATGGAGATCATGACATTATGGGAACTAATTGTCTGAAAAGAGCATCTACTGGTATGGCATTATGCTGCAGGCAAATGTTAATATTCATGGAGTTCTAAAAAATCCATTAAGTCTATGAATGAATTATTATTGTGTCCCCGAAAGCTCAATGCACTGCAACTTCAGAAAAGCTGCAAAGTGAGAAAAATCATTTCACCATTTTGATAATATGTGTGCTGTTTAGAAAATACTGAATTCAAAAAAATAACTAAGCTGTAATGGGCTTTCTCATTTTTAAAACTTGCTACTTTTGGATTAGGTTGATATAAAAGTATATTTTCTGTTCTTGTTCCATTGCCATGAAAGGTGGTACATAGCGATAAATGTAACTGAAATACATAAAAAAGTGCTTTTCTAGCTTTACAATAAAAGTCATATTCTCCCATTAAAAAAGTGATTTTACTGATAAATACGACACTTTCACAAAAGGTTAAAACCAGAACAGTTGCCTCAGGCATTTTATAATGTAAGGTAAAGACCATACAATAATAGAGCGAATCCCATCAATCAGATGACTCTATGAGCACTTGGCGACAGTGGGAAGGAAAAAAGCCCTTTTAAAAGGAAAAGCCCTCTGATACAAAGAGCAGTAGAGAGACTTTTCATCTACTTTCAGCTTTACATCAAAACTTTCAAATGTTCACAAATTGTTTTTGACTACCTTGAATTTAGTTAAAAATCATGTAGTAGCCTAAGTAAGTAAAAGTACATTCTCACAGAATTGGCGGCATAGTTGCAGACAAAAATGCCGTATACGTTATCAAACTGGTGGTGATCCTCTTTTGCGCTGAGCTTTTAGGGCCACTGCACGTACACAAATGGTAATGAGCTGAATGTGAGATGTGTTGTGACTGATGACCACAATAATTAGGCTTTTGATAGCAAAATTTTGCAAGATTATGATCTATTATTGTGATCTTCCCTAAGTGAATCTATTAAAATGGTAGGTGTGAGAGAGCCATACTACAGTGCTGTTCATCCTCACTGCAGGTGGATAAAAACAATGGAGAGCACTTCAGTCAAATTCAGCTAGCATAATAGGAAATGTTTGTGCTGCCTTTTATGACGTTTGTCTACATACGTTCCAGCCAGATTGCCAAGGGAACTGCACGCATTTACAGCACTGGGTAATTAGCAATCCAATCACAGAAAGCGTTGTTTATCACATCCGGGTCTGCACTGGCCAGAGCCAGCATCAGCATGACTGCCAATATTTCTATTCACCTGCATAAGCCAATAATGAAGTAGGAGTCTCTTGCCACCTGTGAATGGAATTGAGAAAAATGTTGCCGTTTCTTTGCTTACTGTCATTTAGTCTGTATTGTGCACTAAAGTTTTTCTCCGGGCCCCAGTACTCCCAACTGATCAGGGCCCAGTCTTCCCCGATCATGGAGCTAATGTTTCCGAAAGGACTTGCTGAGCACACAAGAGAAAACACAACCATCAACATGAGTCTGTTGGTCAAAGGACAATCCAATAACTGTCAATCAAATATTTTGCTTTTGCTACAGTTAACATTAAGTGCACCAAGCTTCACCAAATCTAGTTTCTCACTGCTTTAACTATGCCAACAAAAACAGAGGACAAACATAACTAATCATCACTAATCAACAGACACTGAGGTTACTAATATCACAGCAGAATCTGTACCCTTGTGGGGTGGACCATGTGGAGGTGACCGTGCAATAGGATGAAGGGATTGGGTGCTTCCTGTAAACAATATGAAGAGGGATAGAGATGGAGCCACACACACGTGAGACACACACAGAGACACACAGAGACACCACAGATGCTAAAGTCATTATACAGAGAACACAAAGTTCATTGGCATGCCATGCGAAGCCCCTGGCATGCAGCAGGAAAGCATCACCAGCGGCCACTGAGGAAGAAGTAAGAAGGGGGTCAAAATCACCAAAGGCACAGCGAAAAAAAAAGAAGAGAAAAAAAAGATGAAGAGCAGCTGAGCACTTTGAAAAGACTCATCTAGTTTTATCACATGGCATTAAAAAAAGCACATGTCACAGAGCATCTTTATCTGTGCAGCTTTGAACTTTTCCCTGCTTTGAACTCCTCGGTCAAGCATTCTGGTTGGCCACAGAATTGGACAGAGGCGAAGGGAAACTGCTCAGAGGTGAGGAGCGCATGCTTATGGTGGGTTTTGCAGCTTTAGCTGTATGTGTAAAACAATCATTTGTCTAGAAACACCACATTTCTGTCAACCTGTGATATCAGAGCCTGCAGAGAGAAACAGGACAAAGAGAAACAACCGGACAGGGATCATTATGAGAAGACAACCACCCACATCCCCAAACTGTCTTTTTTTTTAGACATTTATGTGGTTGTGCTGTGTAACTTGAAAGTGTTATTTATATATATATATGTATAGTGAAAAGGTATTTGCATATTTGTTACACTGAAATGTTTTATGTCAAACAAATTTTAGTATTAGACAAATATAACCTGAGTAAATACAAAATGCAGTTTTAAAATGATTTCATTTATTAAGGGGAAAAAGCTATCAAAACCTAACTTCCCTCAGTGAAAAAGCAATTACCGTTCTCTTGTTAAGTCATGAATGAACTGTGATTAACCACAAAATCAAGCTGAGCCACACCCAGTACTGATTACTGCCAGACCTGTTGAATCAAGAAATCATTTAAATGGAACCTGTGTGACACAGTGAAGTAGGCTTAAAGAACTCAAAAAGCAACACATCATGCCATGATCTAAAGAAACAGCTGTGGAAAACAGTTGTCAAACAAAGTCACTGACATCCATCAGTCTGGTCTGGTAAGGGTTGCAAAGACATTTCTAAGGCTTTGAGAATGAACCACAAATGGAGAGAATCTGGAACACTGGTGAACCTTTCCTGGAGTGCCCGGCCTATCAAAATTACTCCAGTGCATCGATGACTCATCCAGGTAAATGGTAAATGGACTGATCCTTATATAGTGCTTTTCTACTCTCCCGGAGCCCTCAAAGCACTTTATACAGCATGCCACATTCACCTATTCACACAAGCACTTCCTTATATGCTTTTAAGTGCTTACTAACTAACAATCACACTCATTCGTACTCCAATGGATGCATCGGAGAGCAACTTGGGGTCAGTATCTTGCCCAAGGATACTTGGCATGCAGAATGGGAGAGCCAGGGATTGAACCACTAACGTTCCGATCAGTAGATGACCTGCTCTTCCTCCCGAGCTACAGTCACCACAAAAGGTTTGCATCCCATTAAATCTGGTGTAAAACTAACTTTCATAAAAAGAACATCATGGCAACACTCAAACATGGTGATGGCAGTGTGATGGTTTAAGGCTACTTTGCTGCATCAGGACCTGGACGACTTGCCGTAATTGATGGAATCATAAATTCTGCTCTCTACCAGAAAATCCTGAAAGAGGATTTCCAGCCATCAGCTCATGCCCTGAAGCTCAAGCATGCTTGGGTTATGCAGCAGGACAATGATCAGAAACAACCTCTGAATGGCTAAAAAAAAACACCTCAACCAAGGTTTTAGAAAGGCCTAGTCAAAGTTCGGAGGCTTTGGCCTGACCTTAAATAGGCTGATCACACTCAAAACCTTCTAGTGTGGATGAATTAAAACAATTCTTCAAGAAGAGTGGGCCAAAACATCCACACAATGTTGTGAAAGACTGTTGTCATTTATCACAAACGCTTGATTGCAGTTTTTGCTGCTAAAGATGGCACAGCCAGTTATCAGGTCTACAGGGAGTGCAGAATTATTAGGCAAATGAGTATTTTGTCCACATCATCCTCTTCATGCATGTTGTCTTACTCCAAGCTGTATAGGCTCGAAAGCCTACTACCAATTAAGCATATTAGGTGATGTGCATCTCTGTAATGAGAAGGGGTGTGGTCTAATGACATCAACACCCTATATCAGGTGTGCATAATTATTAGGCAACGTCCTTTCCTTTGGCAAAATGGGTCAAAAGAAGGACTTGACAGGCTCAGAAAAGTCAAAAATAGTGAGATATCTTGCAGAGGGATGCAGCAGTCTCAAAATTGCAAAGCTTCTGAAGCGTGATCATCGAACAATCAAGCATTTCATTCAAAATAGTCAACAGGGTCGCAAGAAGCGTGTGGAAAAACCAAGGCGCAAAATAACTGCCCATGAACTGAGAAAAGTCAAGTGTGCAGCTGCCAAGATGCCACTTGCCACCAGTTTGGCCATATTTCAGAGCTGCAACATCACTGGAGTGCCCAAAAGCACAAGGTGTGCAATACTCAGAGACATGGCCAAGGTAAGAAAGGCTGAAAGACGACCACCACTGAACAAGACACACAAGCTGAAATGTCAAGACTGGGCCAAGAAATATCTCAAGACTGGTTTTTCTAAGGTTTTATGGACTGATGAAATGAGAGTGAGTCTTGATGGGCCAGATGGATGGGCCCGTGGCTGGATTGGTAAAGGGCAGAGAGCTCCAGTCCGACTCAGACGCCAGCAAGGTGGAGGTGGAGTACTGGTTTGGGCTGGTATCATCAAAGATGAGCTTGTGGGGCCTTTTCGGGTTGAGGATGGAGTCAAGCTCAACTCCCAGTCCTACTGCCAGTTTCTGGAAGACACCTTCTTCAAGCAGTGGTACAGGAAGAAGTCTGCATCCTTCAAGAAAAACATGATTTTCATGCAGGACAATGCTCCATCACACGCGTCCAAGTACTCCACAGCGTGGCTGGCAAGAAAGGGTATAAAAGAAGAAAAACTAATGACATGGCCACCTTGTTCACCTGATCTGAACCGCATTGAGAACCTGTGGTCCATCATCAAATGTGAGATTTACAAGGAGGGAAAACAGTACACCTCTCTGAACAGTGTCTGGGAGGCTGTGGTTGCTGCTGCACGCAATGTTGATGGTGAACAGATCAAAACACTGACAGAATCCATGGATGGCAGGCTTTTGAGTGTCCTTGCAAAGAAAGGTGGCTATATTGGTCGCTGATTTGTTTTTGTTTTGTTTTTGAATGTCAGAAATGTATATTTGTGAATGTGGAGATGTTATATTGGTTTCACTGGTAAAAATAAATAATTGAAATGGGTATATATTTGTTTTTTGTTAAGTTGCCTAATAATTATGCACAGTAATAGTTACCTGCACACACAGATATCCCCCTAAAATAGCTAAAACTAAAAACAAACTAAAAACTACTTCCAAAAACATTCAGCTTTGATATTAATGAGTTTTTTGGGATCATTGAGAACATGGTTGTTGTTCAATAATAAAATTATTCCTCAAAAATACAACTTGCCTAATAATTCTACACTCCATGTAGGAGGCAATAACTTTTTCACACATGGGTAGATGGGTCTGGATAACAAGAAACAACTTTTTTCTAAATTGTTGTTGTCAGCTGATTTTCTGACAGCTAATCCATAAAGTCTGCAGTAACTGAATGATGAGCAGCTTCAAACTACACAACAGAATTAGAGGAATGTTTGACACCAAACAATTCAAACTGGCAAAGCATACACAGCAAAGCAGTGCAAGCTTCACACAAGCTAAATGTGTTGCACAGTTCTGCTGCAGCACACCAGGACTCAGGTTTGCTTATCCACTTCACCAGAGAGGTCTCTGAGGCTGTGTTTTGGGAGGGGCTTTCCTTAGATCGCCAAAATGATTAGAAATTTTAAAAAGACTAGGGGCAATTTAAGCAAATATTCACCAGACATTTACCGAATTTTCAAAGCAAGATAAACAAACAAATCTGGTAAATAACACGTACTAGAAAATGTTCTGATGGACAATAATACAAACCAAGCACATGCTCTGTAAATTATTTACACGCTTTCATGCTCTTACCTCAACAAATACAGAACAGAACATATATATTAATCTAATATTTATCCACATCTCCAGTGGGAGAAACATGAAATCTAGTTAGTTTTTTTTCTCATATTTTTCTTGTATTTGATGACTTACCTTCCTCCCTGATGATGACAGCTTCCTGAGAAATGGCTGCACCTGCTCCAGCGCCTGTTTTCGCATTCAAATAAAACTTGTAGCGTATGCTGTACTTGAGGTTGGGCAAAGTGACAGAGGTCTCATTGGCAGCCAAGGCCAGCTCCTCCACTGGGCCCAGTTCATTGGAGTTATTTACTACAGGGGTGAGGGATGGGCGAGAAGAATAATGGGGTGGGGGTGGAAGTTGGGAAGCAGTGGGGTAAGTTGAATAGAGAGTTGGGTAGGAGGTGTAGATGGAGTGTCAGTGATGAAAAAGGTGGAAATGGAAGTATTTGGGGTGTAGGATTCAGAAATAGAAGGCAGGAATGACCAAAGTTGATTTGTTATTTGTGTTTTTTTTAATTTAGGCAAAAACAAAAATGCTCTTAGGCTACTCTAAGTATTGATTATCATTTCTGTCTTATGATCTCAACAGAATGACAGCACAAGACATGAAAAAGACTGACATACAAATCTACAAACTACATGAAGAAGATGACACTCACTAGGTAAAGATGCAAAAATCTTACGAAAAAAGCCTCACCTGGCTGATATTTGAGGGTATACCCGGTAATGTGCCCATTATGGTCATGAGGAGGACTCCATTCAAGGGTTAGAGAGTCCAGGTTCGAGTTAGTGACTATCAGCGAAGTAGGAGACCCCGGCACTGCAAAAAGACATATATAATGAAACCTTGCACAAGTTAATTAAAGAGCAGCTAAAGATAGGATGTTTTAAATAAATAGCTGAAGAGACGGTGTGTGTGTGTGTGTGTGTGTGTGTGTGTGTGTGTGTGTGTGTGTGTGAGGCGCGGTTCATTGAGGATTTCTGGGTTTTACTTTATGCAGAATGCCCAGTGTTAATACTCAAAGTCTGCCTCCAGTCATTGTGGCTTGCTTATTTATATTTCATTCTGATATTTGACCTTCAGTGTGCAATAAAGCTTGTGCAGCACTTAAAGCGAAAAATTTCTCTTACTTACAAAAATTGCTTTGTGTCATTACAATTAGACTGGATGTGATTAATAGGCGACTGGGAAATTTAAAGCCTCTAGTGCAAAAAAAAACTGAGCAACTGCTTGTATATTCACAGATTAAAATAAACAAAAACCTTTCAAACTCAGACCGAAGAGAATCATTCATAACTGAATAACTTAAATAGCCAGACTTCTGATTGTATGATTTAGAGCAGCGGTCCCCAACCCCCGGGCCTCGGACCGGTACCGGTCCGTGAGTCGTTTGGTACCGGGCCGCGAGAGTTGAGGCTCAGGTGTGAAATGTATAGTTTTCAGGGTTTTTATCGGTCTTTTCACGTGTGTTATGAATAAATTTTCTTTTTTTTGGTACCGGTACTAGTTTTATTTTGTTGTATTTATCCGCGACACCTTAAAGGCCGGTCCATGAAAAATATTGTTGGGCATAAACCGGTCCGTGGCGCAAAAAAGGTTGGGGACCGCTGATTTAGAGCATAGATCAGTTACAGGTGGAAAGTCATCATTTTCTATTTGCTAACCAGTTATGTGACACTGTTTTACATAGGCTGTCATTCAAGTGGAGCTAATTTGCTACCTGTTCCTGTTCCAGTTATGATAATGAAGACTGAAACTATACTCTGGGTCATTTTTAACAAAGTCTACTCTCATATGAAAGAAAAAAAAAAGACACACACAGACACAAAGGGTGTCCCTTCCGATCTCTTACCTCCCTCGGGTGTCTTAAACTGCTGGGTTACACTCCGGGGGCCCTCTCCTTTTCCATTATAGACCCTTACATTGAACAAGTACAGACTGAAGGGGTGGAGGCCAGGCAGCATGCCCTGGGTATGATTCCCACTAAATACAAGAATGTCCTGCTCCATGTGATCAGGATTGTGCTTGTAGTGGTGTTTTCTCCAGTAAGACACCTGAAAGCATGTAGATTTAAATGACGTATATAGTACAACTGGAGGAAATGGTGCACATGTTACATTGTCGGCGGTTCTTATACGGTACCTTATATCCTTTGATATTTCCGCGTATTAAATGAGCGGGCACGGGATCCCAGAACACCTCTACCAGGGTGCTGTTTCGCACCACAGCGTGCACATTTTCTGGAGCTGCTACGGGCACTGTATCGTAGATGGGCAACACAGCATTACAACAGCAAAATACAGAAAAAAGGAACATACTGAGAATATGTTATAGGTTACACACACCAGCTGCATCACCCGCAGGCTCTTGAGCATAATCTTTTTTTTAAAAATAGACAGTCTTACTCACAGTCCTCTCCTGAGTAGCCGTGGGCAATAGCAGGGTCAGGTACAGCTCCGTGGTCGTTTACAGCCTGAACCTTAATCTCATATGGAACAAACGTGGGCGTTCCAGACACAACAAACTTGGAATTGTTAGACACGGTCACTGTATTCCATTCGCTTTCTACATTCTTCTGCCTCCACATCACTCTGTAGTGAAGCCCGGGACCATTAGACTGGAGGTTTGTCAGTGGCTGCAGAGGAGAAAGCTGTAATGTAACTTATTCTCCATTGGAAAGCTTCTGTAGACAACATGTAACAGTATAGGAAGCTGAAAATATAGTTTTGCTGAATGACAATAAAGTGAAAAAACCCCATAAAGAAAGCTCATAAGACCACACAATTACAAAGTCAAGCTCTGCAGTATGAGAAGACTTTAATAAATGCGTGAGGATTAAAAGGATCAGCCTTATGCTGCTTATTACCTTCCAGGAGATTACAAGATTGTTATGTTCAGTTCCAAATCCCTGCACACCTGTTGGGTTTTCATCTGGAGCTGAAAAATATATCATTAAGGACACAATTAACACTTATTGGATGGAAAATCTTTCTTAGATAGTACTTATAATCTGGTCTGATTTACTTTTACAGACTTTAGTGTATGTATGCATACTGAATCTTATGGTACTTCATTGTCTTTACTTTGATACACAACAGCTTTGATATGGCATCTGTTAGCCTAATGCATTATTTAATGCATTAGGCTAAGAAATGGATATATGGAGAATTACTTTATACAGGAAACTGCACCAAGAAGAGCAGAAATCACACAGTCAGTCAGCTGATTCTGTACCTGCAGGTTCTGTCTTGTACATCCTGGAGGGGCGGCTGGGATTACTGAAGCCCACCGCGTTGAGAGCCAGAACTCTAAAGGTGTAGTGAACATGGGGCGACAGTTTAAGGTGAGCTGTTGTCTTGGTTCCAGGGACCTCGGTAAGATTATGCCAGTGACCCCGATGGTGCAGTGAGTCTTCATATTGGATCAGAAATTCTGTATTTAAAAAAAGACATCACACCTTAAATAGTGTCTGACAGTATATTTCCATAAATGGAATTAAAGCCCTCAGTTTTTTTTAGGATACTTTAATTCAAAAAGCCTAGCTTAACAAAAAAAATCCACTTTCAGCAGCACTTTGAGGATTCAAGAAAATAGCGGATTTAGCCCGGTTTTTCAAAAAATGACGAGGGTTTTCATCACCCTGAGGAAACTAACTGACAGTAGAGAAGTACATTTTCCAGAAAAGTTTGGAAAAGTCTTTAAGTGCATTTCTTTTCTTTTTCTTTTTTTGCCAAAAGGCAGATTTTAGACTTTGTTATTGGTTACTACTGGGTGTAGCCAATTTTAAAGATTTTGTTTGCACAAAAACATTTAGAGCAATATAGGCCAACAATCTAATAATAAGGTGTACAAACAACACACACACACACACACACACACACACACACACATAAACATACTCTGAACAGGGCTGTTATGTTCATCCCCAGGGGTCCAAGTGAGCTGAACACTCCTCTTTTTCTGGTCTGTCAGTTCCAGGTCTGTCGGGGGGTCGGGTCGCTCTGGGAGAAATACAGCACAAGCAGCAGCATCAACCCGTGTGCTTGGGATTATATTCATAGTGGCTTCATTCTACAGAAGATGAAGGGTTCATGCTATGAACAAGATGGAGCAAAAACAAAAAATGAAGGACGTGTCGGCCATGTTTCTGTGATACTGAAACCATAATAGATGCTAATTTGTTGATTTAACCAAGCACACCTTTGAGTTCCTCCTTTATTTCTGTACATCTTCTACTAGACTGTGTTATCTGGGCTGTGATAAACATGCAGACATTGCATCATGCATATGAAAATCCCACTACATAATCATTCCGCATGAAATCGAGTCTCAGGCTCACACAGAGGTTAAATTGATGCTCATGTTTTGGAATTAGGTGATAAAGTGAAATGCACGCCTTGAATAAATAAGTGATGAGAGCAACGTGTATTTGGAAATATCCCAAGTGGTGCAACCGGGAGATGTCTGCTTTACAAATGATGTTTGCATTCGACTGTGAATAGACATTTTTTTGGCTTGAGTAAATGTTGCCACCAGTGGTTTAAAGCATTCAAACATTATGCATATTTGGCAAAACATTAAAAAAAAAATATCTAAGCAATTTTATAAAAAATAAACTCTCAGAGGCAATAAGAAATAAATGCTGGAACATCAAAAATGAATTTAAAAAAGCCCACACACATACACAATAATGCTTTGTGATTTTCAGGTCAACGCATGCCGCATTTCACAAACACAAGCGCACATCTGCAGAGCACATCTGGGTGCTCGTGTGTGCTGCAGGTTTACCGTAGACAACAGCTGGTGTTGTGGCCTCTGTCAGGTAGGAGGGCAGGAGTGAAATAGGGAGTTTTAAAGGTCAGTCATTCAGAAGGAAACAAAGAAAATAATCTGGCTTTTTTAGAATGAAGCACACGGATATTTGTGCCACTGAGTAAATCTGCTCTCGGCATTTAACCTTGAAGCGATGAAAGCTAATACGGTGGGTAAGTTATTGGACAGGTTACCTTTTCTAAGAGGAGCTGAGACAGAGAGACGTTATGAGTCTGTTTTATGCCTGAGCAGTTTTGAAACTGTGCACACCATTACATACCCACAACGGTGAGCTTAGCGGTGGCTGAATCGTGGTCCAGAGTGGTGTTCATGATGCAGGTGTACACTCCTGCGTCGTCCTCTGTAACATCAGTGATGGTGAGGCTGTCCGAGTCCACGATCAGTCTGCAAAAACATTCAGCAGGTCACTATGAACTGAATGAATGTGTTTTTTCTTCTTTTACAACATTCAGTACACAAAGGATCCTGCATATATCCATAACAGTACACAAATACCAGACAAAGACCTGATTTTTTGTTTTTAACAGCAGGCTTCAAGAAAGAAGACATCTCCGGATATAAAAAGCTCTGACCTCTCATCGTCAGGCAGCTCTCCGTCATCTTTGAGCCAGGTCATCGTGGGAATGAGCGAAGGGTCGTGTTTTACCGTGCACTCAAACACCACAGATCGGCCCCTCTGGACTTCTTTGTATTCTGGCTGCTTCAGGATTCGGGTTGGCTCTGTTGGGGGAAGAATAAAGTGGTGCAGGAGCTGTGAAACTGCCACGTGTTTGCTCCAAGCTGGGTTCTTATTTAGTAGCTGACAGATTCAAAATGTCAGCTTGTTGAACCTGAAGCTTGCCATGGATTCATTTTGTGCAAGTCACCTCAGTGATTAATTAAGGTGTGCTGACTGGTACATGATGACTGTCCGTGGCTCAAAATAGAACAGATTTACATTAAAGAAACAGAAAAACAGTTAAATATACAAGCAGTTAAAAATAAATAAATAAATAATTTTATACACTTAACCCTTTATTGACCATGAGCCCATCGGCGGGCCCATTTTACAGGTAAATATAAAGGGTTGGTCAATACACTCACTGGCCACTTTTTTAAGTACACCTGTTCGACTGCTTGTTGACGCAAATATCTATTAGCCAATCACATTACAGCAACGCTTTGCATTTCGACGTGTATGTATGATGAACTGAGCATCAGAATTGGAGAAGAAAGGTGATTAAAGTGACTTTGAACATATGGTTGTTGCTTCTGGATGGGCTACACTGAGTGTTTTAACCTACTGAGACTTTAGCATACAGCCACCTCAGATTCACAGAAATTGGCGCAAAGAAAAAAAAGAAATAAAAATTCCTTCTTGATAACCACTTGTTACAACCAAGGTATGCAGAGGAGTATTGCTGAATTGACAATCAAACTGTGAAACAGACCAGGAAACTGAGACTACAAATTGCACAGGTTCTCTAAAATTGGATAATAGACGTTTAAAAAAAAAAGTTGCTAATGCTTTTTATCAGCAATTCAGGCTGTTGGTGGTGAAGTAATGTTGTGGGGGACGTGGAATCCCTTAAAAAGCAGTTAAAAACTTTTCTGTTTCAACAAGCCTTCTGTTGATCGAAACTTTTTAAAAAATATTTAACCCTTTGTATTGTTTATATTGTCTATTTTATTACTTAATTACTTTACTTCTTGGCATACTTCGGGCCCCTTAAGACCAACTGAGTATCATTCAAACTATTTACAGTAACTTGTAAATAGTTACAAGTTAACTATTTAACTATGTTGAATTTATACCAAAAAGAATTAAGGTAATTATAAAGGCAAAAAGAGGGTGTAACCCAGCACTAGAAAGGTGTATAATAAAGTGTAAAGTGTCTAATGTGTCCAGTGAGTACATGCTATACAAATGCATATCAAGAGTTTTATTTAGTATAATTTTTAGGCCTGTTATTAAAAACTTGTTAAATTTATTAGCCAAACGAATGAAAATTTCAGAGAGGAGCACTCTTACCTTTGACCTCCAGGTAGACATGATTCTCATAAATCCCAAGACTGTTTGTAGCAACACATGTGTATTTGCCATTGTGTTGTGCTTGAGCTACGCGAATCTCTAACGTCCCGTTGTCATGAAGAATGTAAGGGTCTTCCTGCAGGATGCTGGACCGACTGTCTTTAAACCTAAAGCACAAAGTCAGTTGTTTTCAGTTAGTAAAAGAAACACGACACAATTTTCCTCTGTTAGATTTTCGTTCACTTACCATGTAATTTTTGGCATAGGCGATCCAAAGGAGGAGCAGTCTAACAAGGCCTGGTGGTTCTTGATGATCTGGTAGACTTTATTGGGTGGTGTTAGCACTCTGGGTGGCTCGGCTGCAATGAAGCATTATTGCCATGTTATTGCCTTCCAGGAATCAATATAAATGGAAATGGCATTCAAATGCAAAGGGATAGAGTGTAGTGAACTCACAGAGGACATTGACAAAGGCGTTGGACAGGACGTAACCGTACTCATTAGAGATGTTACACTGGTACACAGCGCTGGATCCAGGCTGTACATCGGTGAAGATGATGATGTCATCCTCCACCTTTCTGCTCAGATCCTTGGGTGAATCTGTTAATGTACAAAAGGGATTATAAGATACTGTATATATCTGGATAATGGAAAGAGCTTTTTGAAACTCATAATCACCCTTATAATGATGTTTGAAAAAGGTGGTATCATAACTCGGAATTTGTATAATAACTCACGGAAATATGAATCAATACCCACCCGAGGGAAGGCATCTACAATTTCGATTTTAATAATGCCTGCTTCTCATGAAAAAGGAGATCATCTATTATGAAAGCTGAGAGAGTTTGAAAAAAAAAAAAAAAAAGAGGCTACACTTACTCTCTATGGAGATGCCATTCATAGCCCAGGTGATGGTGGGTTTGGGTGTGCCGCTGGCCAAGCAGGACAGCCTGCCGCTCTCCCCTGGAGCTAGGACAAGGTTCCTGGGAGGGACATCGATCCAATATGGAGCAGCTGCAAGCAGCACAGGGTACAGAAACAGGCTGGACAATTAATCACTAAACCCACTGCCCTGTTAGCTTCTGTGAATAAATCAATTATAAGGAAGAGGGAGAAAATAAAGCGGTAGAGAGAAGCAGTGACTGAGTTCCCAAGCAGCTCAGAGTCTGATGGGAGCTGAGCATTTCCTCAAGCACACCTTTGACCATGACGTGGATGGTGTGGTGCACCGAGCCAAACTGGTTCTTCGCTGTGCAGCGGTAATCTCCTTCATCTGATGCTGACACGTCCTCGATGTGAAGGGTCTTGTTGTAGTTCAGGAAGGAGGTGCGTTTGGAAGGCAGATCACCACTTATTTTGGTCCAAGAGATGTGAGGGGTGGGCCTAGATTCACAAAGAGAGAGCGCAGACAGACAAACTGATGATGGCAGGTGGACGCTCGTTAAATACATGACTTATGAATGCACTGAGTTCATGAATTAACAGCAGATTCTTTGTCTTACAATCCTTCAGCAATGCACTCCATCTCCAGTTTATCACCTCTCAACACCATCTTGGAACTGGATGAGCCAGATGGGATGAGGAAGGTTGGTCTTCTGTCATCCACGGGTGCCTCTATATTTACACACACACGCACGCAGAATCATATGAGTGATGAACGCGATTGTAAAGGCAAAGAAATGAGCACCTCGTCTGCAAGATTGAGAGCAAATCAGCTCCTTTAGTATTACTACCCTCCCATCACCACACAAATTGGAAAACTGAAACGTGTAATGGTCTGCTATATACGTACATGACGTCACTTTATCACAGACTAATTCTCATAATTTAGACTTTAACTTCTTTTTAATGCATTGTACTGTGTTTGGTATAAAATAAATGAATAAATTAACTTAATAAGCAGCACACAGAGAACTGCTTTTTGCCATTAATCTGGCAATTTACCTGGTGACAAAGTAATCTCCATAACTAGGAATATGAAATCCAGAGTGAGTGTTTTAATTTGATGAGAATCAAGGTTTTTGCATGTTTCAATTTAGCCAACATGTGTAGCCACTAGACAAGGACAAAAAATGTTAAGGAGAAATGAAATGTGAAAAAAATTATATGTAAGAGAGTAAATTACAAGTTTGGAAATCCTTAGGTATTAAGATTGGAGAAAGAAAAGTAGAATTTTAACATGCATATTTTTACTACATGGAGTTAATTCGTTAACTGACAATCCAGAATAAATTTTATATGTGTTTGAATTAATATGTGATGTTTTTTCCCCAAGTATCCCAAGGAGTCCGTCCAGTTTAGGGAAAAGAGCATGCAGCTCTAATTTTGAAAATTCGTGAGAAGAACTACATGTTAAGAAAGGGAGAGCTAATTGGGTAGATCGAGGAAGAGTTACAGGTTGACAAAGACTTTACTTGGATTTCTAGGTTCGAGGGGTAGAAGTTAGTGGGTAAGACAGAATTCCCAGCTCCATGTTGGGATTAATCACTAGAGGGTGCCAGATCCTACCCCTTAAAAATAATCAGTAACGTTGCAGAAAATCTCAGGGTTGATGGGTTGAAGGGTTAGTGTTAGTGGGTAAGAGCTAGTGTGGAGCTCTAAGTTGGGGGTTAAACACTAGGGGGTGCCATAACTCACCACTAAATAAATCAGTGTCATTGTAAAAAGCTGCCATTGTGTCATTGATTTCATCCACTGCAACACAACAGAAAAAAGACCAAAAAAAGACACACGCCATTTCACAAGTTGAACTCATCAAGGCAAAGAAAAACACAAAAGCTTGGACAACTTAACATGACTGAAGAACAAAAATTCACATGACAGGAAAAAATCTACGATGAAGAATGATCGCCATAAGAATCTACTTTAGTGGAGACAGCCTGCCGTCTTGTAGCTGAGATGAGAGAAGCCTTTGTTGTTGGTGGAGAATGTGTATACAGAACATATTACAGAAGTAATACTGAACGTCTGTTTGGCAGATAACCACGAGAGCTCTGACAATATGCCTTTTCAGTGCGGCAGCGACCGCTGGCGTCTCCAAGGACAGCATCATAGATAGGAAATGCTGTTTTCCTCCTACGCCGTCATGCCTGCACAAACTACCGTAAAATCATCCGCACACACATTACAAACGCTGCCACTTTCTTAAAGGTTATAACAAAGACTTGAGTAGATTTCAGTGCTCGTGTCTCTGCATCGCATGCTGTGTCAGACTTACGGTTAAGGACCCTGACAGTGATGGGCTGTTTCTGCTGGATGGTTTGTGTGTGGGGGAAGCGGGCGTAGCAAATGTAGTCGTTCCGGGTGTCCTCTCGGCGAACATTGGAGAAGTACAGGTCACCGTTCAACGACTGAGACACCCTCTTGCTCTGAGGGAGCTTCTGAAAGTCTGAAATGTACAGCGTCACATTAACATTATACAGGAAAGTGTTTGGGAGAGTACAGGTTATAGATGCAGCTGCATTACGCTTATGGGTCTACATTTCCTATATAATCAGGTATTTATGCATCTAATCACAAATATTCACATTCTGATATGCAGTTCATCAGGCTGAAGATGAGTTTGTTGCCATTCAGTATTTTTCATGTGATAAATTTTAAGGAATGAAAAGAAACCAATAAATGTGACAGCAGAAAAAATATATTACGATTTCCACATTTCCAACAGCCTAGCTTGCAAAATGAAATACAGTATGATTGGTTGTAAGATGGAACAGGAAATTGAAAAAGAAAATCACCGTAATTCTTAATCTTATGCAGCAGAAACATCATGTTACCACAAAGAAACATAAGAGATCAAGTTGCTCACTGTTGTCCATCCAGAATATGATGGGAGGGGGTAGGCCAGCAGGGGGGCGACACGGCAACACCAAAGACACGCCCTCCTGCACCACGATTGGCTTGATTTTTTCCTTTGACCACAGGGGGGATCCTATATTGATTGGAGAATAGCACGATCAAATCATAATTTGGCAAAAAATATGGGTCGCTAACAGACTGGAGCTTGCATGACGATGTGGCAAGATGAGGGGAATGATCAAGAATAAAAATATGGAAGTGGGGGGATTACAAAGGTTCAATCACCTATATCTACCGTCGTGTCCAACAAAATAAAACATGCACCTTTCTACAAACAACTTTTACCTTCCAGGAGAGCTCTTAAGATGGAAATTGCAACTTAATCGTTAGAAAAAGAGAAGAAAGGAGGTGATTTTTTTCATAAGATGCACATGAGACAATGAAAGAAGAGAGAGAAGTGATTTTAAAGAAGTGATACAGCAAGCTGCACTCACTGGACTGTCTAACCACTATATTGTGGGAAACAGCGGTTCCGTGTTTGTTTCGTGCTGTGCACTGGTACACCCCCTCGTAGTGTTCAACCCTCTCTCTGCTGATATCCACCACCAGAGTCCCAGATTGCGGCTTCATGTCCACGTTGGGATCATTCTCGACGTCAAAGTGGGTCCCATTTCTTGTCCAGGAGAAACTAAGGAAAAATAAGACCATTATCATAAGAATGCAGGTAATTTTCAAGTGATCAAATCTGGTAATTCATATAAAAAAGAACACATTAATAAAATCTGTTTTACCTATTTGGCTATCTCATTGCACCTGAATTTTTACTGTAAATGTTTCCAATTGTGTTCTTTAAAGAACTTTTTCAAAAGTTTTTCCTATATTTGCCAAGTTTAAATCTACAAAAATATTCTGGATGGTTACATAATAAACTTGCTTTGGGCTGGGGGAAGAATAATCTGGGGTAAAGTAAAGGTTAAGGGCTGAGAGGTGCATTTTATCTATGAGTTCTTGCGAGCATAAAACCACAAATTTATGTGCATGTATGTTATCTTGATGAAAGCTAACTATATGTTAGATTCATTCAAAGCATTCAAAAACAGGTGTCAAGTGTAGGAGTCAAGCAGAACTTTTCTGGCATTGTTTAGAAAACCTGCTGAAAACATTTTAAACATTTGTGACAGGTGGTACCTGAATCCACTCCTGGGGAATTTATATATATTTTTTCCATTTAAAAGAAATTCACTGATTCCTACCTGGGATGCGGTTTTCCCTTCGCCTCACAGTGGATTATAATGTTCTCTCGTGGGTCGACGATGTAATCTTTAGGGGACTGGTAAGTGATGGTTGGCGGCTGCGGCACTAAAGACGACCAGAAAACGGGCGATATTTAATCAGGACCTTTACTGCATAAGTAGGTCTCTTTTTTTTCTTTCCTGCTGCTGCATTGACCACACCAGCAGTGATTACCAATAACATGCAGACTTAGCATACTGAATAAAACCACACAGCTGTTTGCTGACAAACTGAAAAAAGCTCTCAGAATGTAGAAAGGTAGGCAGAAAGCTCAGGTACATTTCCTTTTATTGCAATGAGCCGATGCCTAATGTATTCCTGTCAGTGCTGCGGAGATAAGTAATGGACTATGACAAAACAAATGATATAAGGACTCATGCTGTTTTCAGTATTGCTTTATGGAAAATACTCTACCATTGCAGAAACACACAGAACAAAAACAGCAAACAAAGAAACACAGAAATCAATGCATGCAACATGCCAAGGCCACTCGAAATCACACTCACTATCCTGTAAAGCAAATCCGACTAAATGCAATTCAACAATTCATAACGAGCAGCTAGATAAAATGTAATCTTTAATATCCAAAAACAAGCTGCAAGCAAAAACTCAGATTCTTTGAGACTTACATCCTTCCAGAACTTCAGCAAAGAAGAAAGAAAAAAGAATAGTGACAGTAAAAATAACCAGATATTAGTTATGAAAAATATCCCCCTCAATATCTCTGCCTTGTAACAAGGTTCGCACGTGGCTAGCTCTATATTGAGGAATGGAGGCCTCCAGTAGTCAACCAAAAAAGCAACAGAAGCTTCAGGCTGAAACGTTAAATGTCAGTCCATGTAAGTCACAATTAGTATCTAAAAATTGTTAATATACAAACAACAGTACATTTACATGGATAAAATGCAGTCACAGTAACTGGAAAAAACATAAAGTACATTGATGAAACTACACAGATGCATACAAGAAAGGCTAGACTAGGCTAGAGCTAAAATACTTATTTGACTCTCCAAAAAAATTATTTAATAGCCAATTTTCACATGAACAACAAATATTTTCTACTTTCAAATGGATGTGTTTCATATTTTTGTTTGCCATAAAAATTTTAAAGCAGAATTTTTAGATTCAGAAATTAAAAATAGCTTGTTTTCGTACTTTTCTGAAATTTAAGGCAAAATTAATGAATTGTTAACAATATTTATAACACAAAGAAGAAAAAGCTATACAGTGTTATGCAAGGGTAAAACTTTTATCAGCCAAACTGTACTGGACCTGGAAGTCATTATCGGTAAATTTGTCAATCCAAAATCAAAATAAATTCGGCTTTTATGTGCTTGATTATCAAAATGTTTGATCAAGTAATAGGCCGGGTGACTTATCTTGTAACTAAATGCAAAGTAACCCTGACACTGTGCGACGACTTTGTTTACAGCTGTGTGTGATTTGTTGTCTTACGGTCTAGTGGGACCTCCAGCGCAGTGGCAAGGTGCACCAGGAACAGCAGAAGCACTCCTACATCCATCCTCCTCCACTCCATGATCACGTGAGACTCAAAGGTCTGCCCCCAAATTCAGTGACGCACCGCCTCTGAGGACACGTGCACTTTCACAACTGCAGGTGGAGACAAGAGAAGAACAAACGAAGGAAAGAAGCTTTTAGAGACATAAGCAAGGACAGAGAGCGCAGGGCTGAATAGCACATCCAGTTACTGCTGTCATCAGTCATATAATGAGTTTTGTTCTATTAGGTGGTTTTGAGTCAAAGAAAGAGAGAATGAGTGAGAGACACATCATAGCTCTAGCCACAGATTGATGTTAGTTACCATCCACTGCAATTTGCTGGAAGCTATCTTTTTGATCTAGTGCATTCCGATAGGGACCGACGGGGCCCACATGGGTTCATTTTGCAGGGCTAATCACAGGCGCGGCCATGATGCCATTAGGTTTCTCTGCCGTATTGATCACATCAGCTGGCAGATGATATGCCAAGGGACAAGACAAGGGGACACTCACTTTACTTTCCATTTCACTCGGAGCTTTATCAATGTGATTGACTGACCGGCTGAGCCAGCAGCAAAGTGATCTGAAATGAGGTCAGATTTCAGAGAGCGAACCATCATTCTTTCATTAGACTGCTGTAGTGGGAATGTCATACGTGACGAGACAGAAATAAATATGTGTGACATCTCTGTTTGTCGAGGACAGTTGGTTCAACAAGATTTCAGGTTAAGCTGAGGTGACGTATGTTTTCCTTGCTTGGGCAAACTGGGGTACTGATTCATTGTTAAGTGGGGATTTTTTTTTGTTAAGTAGTTTTATCAAATTGTGTCTCCATCACAACCAATGACTGCAGTCATTGCTCTATAGTCATTGATCACAACACAAGCGTTAAATGAACTGAGTAAAAAGCAAAGCAAAATGTAGTCACGTCACAAAACCACAGAACAAAAATGTTCACTTGTTGCCACACAGCTCGCAGCTACCACATTACACCTTAATCCAAGCAAAAGATCATAGAATATAATATTGAAGTTATAAAAGATCAGAATGTGGCTCAAACTTCAGAGAAATCTAAAAAAGCACAAGGTTAAATTGACTGCTCATTTGAATTCATATTAATCTGCATAATTCAGTGCTGCCGAGTCAAAAGAATGAAGAAAATGAACTTAGGAGGAGTCGTTTTAATAACTGTAGTCTGACCTGTTTTTATCTCGCTTCTTCATCCACTGGCACCATATTAAAAATGTCACAGCTTAATTTAGAGCTCAGGCAGATTAATTTGCTACATTATCGCATAAGCACACTAACAAATTCAGAATGAAAAAAATCACGTGGAGCACTCTAAAGCTGGAGTTACACATGCGTACTGCATGCCTGCTTAGGGCGTGGGGCAGGTCAGGGCTGCAGATGAGGTTGTAAAAGCGATGTCTGGTACCAGAGGCTAGACAGCCATGCGGTAAGACCTGGTCTTCCTAGGGGAACTGAGGTATTTGTTAGTGCTGCCCTAAAGTCATGATTCAGAACCATCCTCAGAGCCGGTGTCTAGTAGCATGGGAAGAGACCAAGGCTAATGTCTACTGCCCCCAGCTTCAACTATACCTCTCCTGGGAAGGCCTGTATTATTCACCCAGGGCAGCCAATCACACTGCTGTGGACACCTCAGGCAGCTCTGGCTTGGGATTTGACATGAAAAGATCCAGAGGGTCATTTCATCAAGATAATTTGCAGGCTGCAGGCATCGGTGCTGAAACTGTACATTTCCTTTCCTTCAGTATATTTTCAGCTTCTGCTGGAAATTTACAATCACATATTGTTTATGCAAAATCCATTCACGATTATGAGTAAGGTGTTGCAGCGCAGTGATTTTCTAGCACCAATTCATTTTGCTTGGTATTAGGCATTAAGGCATTAATGTCACCGTCACTACTTTTGGGGTTTTTTTTCTAAATCATAAATTACAGCCCGAACTGAGAGTGAAAAAAAGGGTGAAGTAAAAATGGCCAGCGTGTGACAGCAACAGAATAAATGTGTTAATTATACATTTTATGGTGAATCCCCAATAAGCTTTGAGATTCTTATCTGGAATGGAGCCAGGGATTCATCCTAGATTCATTTCCCAATTTAATGAGGTGTAGCAGCTCAGCTCCAGCCAGCCAGTGTGTTTCCTTTGTTCACACCGTACACGTGTGGGCCTGTGTTTACTTGTATGTGTGTATGTGTGTACAGTATATGTCTGTTTGCTACAGTCACCCCTGTAAGTTTCAGTGATATGAGGCCAAACCTCATATCCGTCTAACAGTTGAGTGACGGTGGAAACTCAGTCGACTCATGTCGTTCAGTATATTTTGAGCGTAATCCAAGCTGGGCCTGAATCTTGAAAAAAAGAAAAAGAAACTAGAGTTCAAAACCAATTTTTTATTTCAATATACAATTATTCAAGGTGAACCTTAATCGCAAAATATATTTCTCTATTGCCGGACCATCCTATGCATCCTGTGCTGACAGAAGATGGAAGCCCAAAGTCAACATATCTCTCTTGCTGGAGCTCAGATAAAACCCCAGTCCCGTTTGGAGTGCTGTGCCAAAAGCCGTCAGATGGCTGATAATATCGAACAGGAAATTGTCTCTTAGACAAAAACACAACAGATTGGTAAGGGCACTTCCAGAAATGATTTTCACTCTTTTTCATATAGATAAAGCTGAGAAAGAAAACTAAGCTGGTGTCTCACTTTGAAACGTGATAACTGTTCGTGGCACTACCTCGTGATGACATCGTTTTTATAGCCGATACCAATATTTGGTGATTTCAGAACCAAATATATTGGCCAACAAGAAAATATATTTCTGGTGAGTTTTTCAAAGTGGCACTTTGAGTACTACACGGCAAGTGCCAATTTATTCCATTCTATTCAAAAGAAAGCCGACATTTCTACAGCCGATATCTCAAAAATTTGGCAACTTACATGAAAACGATTTCGATTGAAAAATAACACCAAGTTAGATTTGGGAGTGAACCATGTCTTTAAACTTGTAGATTTGACAAGTACAGTGCTTATTCACAACTGCTGCCAGCTGCATCTAAAAAACAAGAGACAAGTGGGAGAGCTCATCCGAGGTCAATGCCATATTTTCCATTGTTCCCTTGCCTGTGCTTCACCTTATCAATCAAGTTTCACAGAATTCAGAAAGGTCGTTTTTTTGATGCAAACAGGCCTGCAGACAAGCAGGCGGCACTGAAAACATATTTCAGTCTCAGCTCTCTCCTTGCAGACAGAGTCCATCATCTGAACACCGTGACAGCTGCCACAGTAAACCAAAAACAAGGCTGCAGGGTGTAAAACAAAAACACTGAAAGATATGTATCAGTGAGCTAAGAGGACGTGGTAACTCGAATAATAATCCTGCAGACATTTGGTACATTTGTTGCTTGTGGCATCTTAAACTACTTGTGATGAAGTAATATTAATATTTTGAATTTTTACAAAATACTTTGAAGTTATTGTTTTATGGGTTTTCTGTACATTTCTTGCATCTCTTGAAACATTTACATTCAATGACAAGTGAACATCAAATATGGAAAAGCAAGTTTTTTTGGAACTGTTTTACTCAGCCAGACATTTTCAGCTTAATATGAGGTTAAAGTTGTTGAAAATCGTGCCTGAAATGGTTACAAAGAAAAGCCAACACAAACAAACATGTGGTTTACAAATGGCCAGCTTTGTTATCTGATTGTAGAAAAAAAATGAATGAGCAAAGCTAGCGTTTAAATACCGAACAAGCTAAGTTCAGTAAAAATTAATGTCAGCAAAGTGAAAGGCTGCAATGTTAATTACTGTCTCCGACTACATAAGACCACCTTCGCTCACGTCTTGGTTTTCATTTTGTCAACACTCTGCTCTGTAAAAGCTGCATTGAGCTGTCTGCCTCTCATTCATCCAGCCTCTTCAATTACTCCATTGTCATTTTCCCATACCCAGCTACTTCACCATCCCAAAACTAATTGGTTTTGTGCACATGTCAGGGACATAGCACACGCAACAGCACATACACACCCAGGATAAAGCACATTCACAGAGGCTGTCAACAGAATGTGAGGGTCAGGACGTGTCTGAGCACACAGATAGAGGTGACAGGGGCACGAGGACTGACAATGGAAGTAGACTGCAGTGTAAATGAATTGCAGTCAGTATAGAAAAAATCCCAGTTGAATTCCCCTCACAGCAACGGATAACGCTATATGCCTCATATGCTCATCACTTGCACAGATCTTGTCATTGTATGTGCCAAACATTAGTGATGCAACACTGCAACCCTGACAGAATCACAGCTATTGCATCAGAACTCTACACTTTTAACATCTATGATGAAAAACAAGCCTTTCTCCTGCACCAAGCACCCTAATTAACTTCCATAATCAGTGCTATTGATGGCTCATGCAATCAGGGGTTTGTGAGCCTCGGTATGGCCTTAATGGAGCAGCAGGGATCCCCCACAGATGCCTGAATGGATGGGGGTGGAGGGGTATTATGATGAGAATGACTCCACGCTCAGGAAGGAGGTGATGAGGAAACTGATTCGGTTGGAAGCGTTTATTTTTCTGAGATTGCCGGGTGCTCTCGGTGCCTGCTATTCATGCCTTGGGCTGCATGTATTTCTCTGTGCTATTAGATATCAGGAGTGTGTGTGTGTGTGTGTGTGTGTGTGTGTGTGTGTGTGTGTGTGTGTGTGTGTGTGTGTGTGTGTGGGTGGTTGTGTATGTGTGTGTATCTTCCATGGATCTCAAAGTTGAGGTCAAAGAAGTTAAACAAATAGTAAGGTTATTACAGTTTAGCTAAAGACATCACTGTAGATTATAATATAATATAATATAATATAATATAATATAATATAATATAATAATACAGTTTAATCATTTGTCTTTTTAAGCTGTGGATTCACAGGTAATGTGCTAAACAGGGGTAAGCGGTGATACAATTTACAGCAATGATACATGAGGTTGAATGTTCAGTGGCTTTGACTAATACCTCTCACGGGCCTCTTATTAGCAGCCACAGGACCACAACACACATTCCATGGGCCGGCTTCAGTGTATGTTTCCCATAATCTTCTCAT